TAAAAGGGCGCCGGGAGCCTCTCAGACAGCGGCAGAGCCCTGTGGGTGAGCCTGGCTCTCTCCAGGACAGGGACCAAATGGTTGAGCACCAGGAGCGCCTTGGTGCTTATGTCCCTGTCCTCATCCTGGAGGCGCATCATCAGGACAGGAGGACAGCATCTGGGCCCTGCAGGTGCTCCACTGGAAGCAGGGAGGAGGAGGACAGGACAGGCTTGGAGGGGGGCCCAGGGCCCTCCCCACCTCCTGCCCTACCTGTGGGGGAAAGGCCAGGCAGGAGCCCCAGGGCCCTCTCTGCCCTCCCATCTCCACCCCTCTCGGGCCCAGCCGGTGCCTGCTCGTCCCCTGTCCTGCGACATCTCTCTTTCCCCTCAGGGTGTCCCTAGGTCCCCAGGGGACCTCTGCTCTCCTCGGGGCTGCTCTGACCCTCACCTGCTCCCCCCAGCCACTGCTCCCTGTCTTCCTCCACCTCCATGAGCCCCCACAGCACCCTGTGCTGGCCTCACAGGGAGTTGGCACGTGCCACAGCCTCCTCTGCTGCTCAGATCCGCAGGGAAAGCAGGTGTCCCTGTAGAGCTGACAAGTTCTTCGCACATCCCTACCCACTGTGGTCTGGCCATCTCATGAGGCAACCAGGAGGTCCTCTGCCTCTCCTTGACTTCTCTGTAACCACAGACACCAAAGGGGCCACCCTGCTTGGGCCTTTATGGCTGCACTTGTGAGGCACAGCCCTTGAGCCCGGCACTGCCCAAGCAAGGCGACTCTTCCCCAACCTCCTACCTGGAGAAGTAAAACAATCATAGAATCACTATGGATGGAAAAGACCTTCAGGATCATTGAGCCCAGTTGTAAGCCCTTCAACACCACACCTGCTAAACCATGTTCCTAAGTGCCTGATCTACACGTGCCTTGAACACTGCCAGGGACGGTGACTCCAGCACTTCCTTGGGCAGCCTCTTCCAAAGCTTGACTACTCTTTCTGTGTTGAAATCTTTCTTAATGGCTAACCTGAACCTGCCCTGGTGCAACTTGAGGCCATCTCCTCTTGTCCTACTGGGAGTTATTCTGGAGAAGAGATCAACCCCCACCTTACTATGACCTTCTTTCAGGTGGTTGTAGTTCCACTCTTCCTGATAAACTGAACACAGTATTCAAGGTGTGGCCTCATGAGCACTGAGCACAGAGGGACAATCACTTCCCCAGCCCTGCTGTCTACACTATTCCTGATGCAAGCGAGGAGGCCGTTGGCCGTGGCCACTTGGGCACACTGCTGGCTCATGCTCAGCTGGCTGCTAACCCACACCCCCAGATCCTTTTCTGCTGCACAGCTCTCCAGCTGCTCTGCCCCAAGCCTGTAGCACTGCATGGGGTGGTTGTGATCGAAGCACAGGACTCAGCAACTTGACCTGTTGAATCTCAGTTTGCCTCAGCTCATTGATCTAGTCCGTCCACGTTCTTCTGTGCGGGGCGTTCTTCTTCTGCCTTCCTACCCTCAAGCAGATCACCTTTTCCCAGCGTGGTGTGGTCTGCATATTTGCTGAGGGTGCGCTCAATCCCTTCATCCAGATCAGCCATAAAGATATGAAAGAGGACTGGCCTCGACGCTGACCCCTGGGGAACACTGCTCGCTGGCTGGATTACACTCCATTCACCACCACTCTGTGGGCCTAGCCCTCCAGCCAGTCCTTCACCCAGCAAAGAGTCCACCTGTCTAAGCCATGAGCTGCCAGCTTCTCCAGGAGAAGGCAGTAGCAGGCAGTGCCAAAGGCCTTACTGAAGTCTAAGTAGACCATGTCCACAGCCATTCCCTCATCTGCTAGGCGGGTTGCCTGGTCAAAGAAGGAGATGAGGTTGGTCAGGCAGGACCTGCCTTTCATGAACCCTTCTTGGCTGGGCCCGATCCTCTGCTTGTCACGCACACGTTGTGCGAGTACTCTCAAGATGATCTGCTCCATTACTGTCCCCCATACCAAGGTCAGGCTGAGAAGCCTGTAGTTCCCTACATCCTCCATCCAACCCTTCTCGTAGATGGGCATCACACTGGCAAGTCTCCAGTTGTCTGGGACCTCCCCTCCTGTTGATTAGGATCACGGATAAATGACAGAGAGCAGCTTGGAGGGTAGTTCCGTCAGTTCCCTCAGAACCCTCGGCTGGATTCCATCTGGCCTCATAGACTTGTGGGTGTCCAAGTGGAGTAGCAGGTCACTGAGTGCTTCCTCCTGGATTACAGGGGGCAAGGTGGGGGTAGGCGGGGACAGGGACTGTTATTCTGCTCTCCATAGGTGTCTTCCAGCTCAAGGGGCCAAGTACCTTGAGGATAACTGATCTGGATGTTAAAGACTGAGGCAAAGCCTCAGTCTAAGACTCAGCCTTATCCTCATCCTTGGAGACAAGGTTCCCCCATGCATCGAATAAAGGATAGATATTCTCCTTGGCCCTTCTATTCTTAATGTGTTTCTAGAAACATTTGTTGTTGCCTTTACAGAGATGTCCAGATCGAGTTCCATCTGAGCTTCCGCCTTTCTAATTTCCTCCATACATACCCTAGTGATGTCCTTGTATTCTTCCCAAGTTGTCTGCCCCATCTTCCAAAGGTGGTAAACTTTTTTTTTTTTTTTTTTCCCTCACAGAGTCTTAGCGAGAGTTGCCCATTTAATCAGGCTGGTCTTCTTCCCCAGCGCCTTGTCTTTTGGCACATGGAGACAGCCCATTCCTGTGCCTTTAAAATTTCCTTCTTGAGAAAAGTTCAGCTTTCCTGAACTCCTTAAGGACTGTCTCCCAAGTGACTCTCCCAACCAATGTCCTAAACAGTCCAAAGTCCACCCCTGGAAGTCCAACATAGCGGTTTTATTGACACCCTTCCTGACTTCACCAAGACTTCAAAGACCCTATCATTTCATGGTCACTATGCCCAAGATGACCTCTGACCACATCTCCCACCAGTCCTTCTCTGTTAGCAATGAGCAGGTCCAGTGGGGCACCTCCCCTCCTAGGCTCACTTACCAGCTCTCATAGGAAGTTATCTTCCATGCAGCCCACAACCTCCTAGATTAGTTCCTCTCTGCCTTACTGTATTTCCAACAGACATCTGGTAGGTTGAAGTCCCCAAGAACAAGGGCTGCCGATTGTGAGATTTCTGGCAGCTGCTTCATGATTGACTCCTCTGTCTCTTCATCCTGGTTGGGGGGGTCTATAGCAGACTTGCACCCAGATATCAGCCTTGTTGGCCTTCCCCCTGATCCTGACCCATAAGCACTCAACTTCTCCATCAGCCACTTGGAGCACCATGCAATCAAAGGACACCCTAGCATACAGTGCTACCCCATCTCCTCTCCTTCCTTGCCTGTCCCTTCTGAAGAGTCTGTAGCCATCCATTGCAGCACACTACGTTTCAGGGATGGTGACTATGTCATAGCTCTCCTGATGCACCGTGGCCTCGAGCTCTTCCTGTTTGTTGCTGTAGCAGCAGAGGCATGCTGCGGTCATTGGTGTAGATGCACTTCAGCTGGACTTCTGAACTCTTCCCCAACCCTGGTCTATCAATCCCAGTTTTAACCCCCTCCCCCTTCATACCTAGGTTAAAGCCCTCTCAATTGCACCTACTAACTCCTGGGCAAGGATTCTTTTCCCCCTTAAAGAGAGGTGAACGCCATTTGTCACCAGCAGTCCTGGTGCTGTAAAGACTGCCCTATGGTTCAAAAAAAAAAAAAAAAAAAGATTAGCGACTCCAGCTTCTGAGCCATCTGGTAAGCAGATGGCTTTTCCTGTTCCTCTCTGCATCCTGACACTGAGGGGATAGAAGAGAACACCACCTGCACTGTCGCTCCCCCAACTCATCTCCCCAATGCCCTGAAGGCCCTTTTCATGGGCTTCAGGCTTCTCTTGGTAACTTGGAAAAGCAATAATGGGCAGTAGTCAGAGGACCATACAAGACCTTAGAGCCTTTTTGAAATGTCCCTTACCTGGGCCCCAGGGAGACAACAGACCTCCCTGTGGGAAGGATCTTGTTGGCAAAGTGGACCCTCTGCTCCCCTCAGAAGGGGGTTGCCCACGAAAACTACCCCTCTTGTCTTTTTAGTGGAGGCAGTCTTAGGGCATGGGCTTGACTGCCTTGCCCTAGAAAACACCCTAGATGGACCTTAGTCCATCCCCTCATTTGGCTGTTCCTTGGGTTCCAGGGCCTCATTACTATTGCATATGGTCACCTGGGAAGATGAGGTGGGCTGGGAGGGGATTCTCCTGCCACCCTGAGCAGGGACCTGTTTCCATTCCTCCTTGCTTCTTAATTTTGCCCATTCTGCCCTACTGCAATAGGGTAGGGGATCCTCAGGCGGATTTGGAATGCTCCGCTGGTGTACCTTTTGAGATGTCTGCAGGGTGTGACTCCACAACTCTCTCTCATACTCTCTTAACAGTCTGTAATCTTGCTATCTCCTCCTCCTTCAGTGATGCCACCAGGCCAAGCAGTTCATCTACCTGTTCACAGCTAATGCCCTTGTTGTTCTTCTACCCACTGCTAACACCTAGAGGCTGAGGCACTCCCTGCAGCCAGAGCCTTGGACCACTGCATGCGCCTGTGTCATCTCAGATTGTGTCCCCACAGTCTTCCTGGTGCTGGCTTTCTGCCAAGTTAGATGCCATGGCTTTGGCTGATTCCACACCGAGGTGATGACCATTGTGAGAGCTCTCCTGCTGACCAGGAGCAGAACTCCTCTCCCCTACCTGCCTGCCTGCTCACCCTCCCTGCGCCAACAGCCACAGCAACAGCCACACCGCAACCTGATTCACCAGCCGTGAGCCCCGACAGCAGCACAAGCTGCCTCTCCTGCTAGTGCTGCCCACGCTGCCTCAGAGCCGCCTCTCACGAGGAGCTCACACGATTCGCTCGGAGCGTCTGGGACTTCCTCTTCCTCCCTGCGCTTTCCTGCTGTCAGGCTTTGACCATAGCTATGACCCCCACACAAGGTACACAGATGCAAGCAGCCACTCCAGAGCCCTTTGCTTTGCTATCAAGGCAGGCAGGTCAGGGTCAAAAATCAGGATCTGGTAGACAATATCCAGCATACAGTCAGGTACTAAACTTCCAGTGTGAATCTCAGTGGACAACATTAGGGGCCTAGGTTACCTTCTGTTCCCATTCCTTCTACATTTACTTTCATTCTTAAGCCTAGCTCTTCTCCTGAGCTCTCCACGCACAGAGCTGACTAAAAGGCAAATATGCTGCATAGAACCGATGTGGAGAGAGCGCTACAGTTCCTTTGCAATGCCCTTTCTAGTCACACCACTGATGGGGCTCTGAGCTTTCTCTCTCTCAATCCTGATCCTAACCCTATGCCTAAAGCTGAGCTCATCATGCCTACTGCTGGCTAAAATGCCAATATGCTGCCTAGAAGTGATCTGCACAGAGTACTACATTTCCTTTGGCATGCCCTTTCTAGCCACACTCCCCAAGGGCCTCTGGGCTTTCTCTCTCTCTCTCTCTTAACCCTAGCCCTAACTGTAGCCCTAAAGCTGAGCTCACCATGCCTAATGCTGGTGAAATGCCTATATGCTGCCTAGAAGCTATCTGGACAAAACACTACATTTCCTTTGACATGCCTTTTCTAGCCCCACTCCCCATGTTGTCCGGGCTTTCTTTTAACCCTAGCTTTAAACCTGAGCTCTCCCATGCCTAGGGCTTCCTAAATGGGAAATATGCTTTCTAAACACATCTGTGGATAGCATAACGTTTCCTTTGGCATGCCCTTTCTACGCCAACTCCCCTTGGGGTTCTGGGTTTCTCTCTCTCTCTCAACCCTATCCCTAGCCCTAAACCTGAATTAGCAAACCTGTAATGTGGCCTCTGTGCTTCATAGTTCACAGGAACCTGAAGCATTACTTTGGAAAAGGGTCGATGATGGATGCTGGCGAAAGATTACAAGGAGGACCTGATCTTCCACTGCTTTGCTAAAGCCTTACAATTAGCTTAAATTTAAGCTGCAGCTATTCAGCTTGCTGTTGGAAAACAGCAACAAGAAGAAAAAAAAGAAAAAAAAACAACTTACTTTTGCTCTTTAAGATGCAGGAACCTGATCTTTGAGGCAAGCTGAGAGTGGTGGTCATGACGCAGCGCCAGCAGTAAGAGTCAGGGGAGGAAATCAGACCCAACAGCAGGTATTGCACTAGCAGATACAGAGCCATTTTCTGGTTTTATTCCCCTCTCTGCATGCTGTGTACATGGTCAGGCTCTGAATTTTAGTCTTGGTACTCGTGTCCTACTTCCTTCAAGTATGACCACCACTGGGCTTTGCTCTTCATGGCACTCCAAGGTTTAAAAGTTGACTGTTTCTCAGAAGCAGAAAAGCCAGTTAACATTACTGCTAGCTATAGGTCTAAGATTTCTTAAGTGAAAAGGTTGACATCAATATTTGGATTATTTGGCCCCCTTGGGAAGAACACAGATTTTTTTGAAAGGCACGACTTGGCTTCCCTGTGGCTTGTAGAAAGCAACCTTGTTTGCTGTCTGGGACTGCTGCATTGCCACACAGTCTGCCAGTTTCAGCCCAAAGTGGCTTTAAGGTAATTCACTCTGGCATCACTTCCTCTGGAACATACAGTGAGTGGAATTGGCTTAGACCAGCTTTGTCCTATCAGGACAATAGTTTTTTGTTTGCTTGTTTTTCTGGGGGGGAGTGTTTATTTGTGCTTTTTTTTTTCCCCCCCTCCTCAGATGCCCGTTTTCAAATGTTAGCAAAGGATTTCTGTGCATGGAAGGTCTATTTCTTGCCTGACTTCAGGGATAAGAGCATATTGCTCTGGAGACTGGGGCTGCAGACTGAGAAACGTAGCTTCATCCAAGCAGTACAGCTTCATGCAAACAGTACAGCATAGCTGGATGCATGCTATTTAGTGCCTGCCAGAGCTGATGTTGGATGGAAGTCCATAATCTGCTCTACGTGACCCAGACAAAATCCACCAATGCTTGGAAGTTGGTAGCATTATGCCAGATATACGCTGTACACGCTCTATAAAGATCCAAGGAGTTTGCTTCACAAAGCTTTTAAATTGAACAAGGGCAAGAAGATGGAGCATGCTCTTAGCACGCCTGGATACCACAGAAAACAGCTGGAAAAGAGGCTGGAAAAAGTCTGGTGACTCAAACCAGGCTACAGGATATTGCTGGACATGCTGCCTGCTGGGTGGGATGCACACCAGGTCAGGCCAAAAGGACACCAGCACACAGTTATGTTCCATACCATTAGTATTTATTAACCTGCCACTCAGCACAGCTTCCAGCTCTGATGCCAAAAAAGAAATGCTCCAACACAACACTGCCCAGAGGCATACCCTCACCTCCACTCCCCGTGGAGAAGGATGCCGGAAGGCACAAGTGGCCTCCAGTGCAACTCATCCCTGCTAGACAACTAGCACAACTGCTGCACTGGGGGAAGGATGGAGAGCTGAGCCATGGTTCCTGCTCCTTCAGTGCTTTCTGTCATTTTTTTCTGTCCCATTGCTGCCTCCCTTCCCAGTGATGGCTTCAGAACAGGCAGCACTTCAAAGGCAGGTTTGGGCGCCCAGTCAACAGAGGCTGGGGGCGGAGAAAACACCGCGCACCCCCACCCCCAGGCCAAAAACCACACACCCTTGCAGCAAACAGCCCATCTGAGAGAGCCAGGACAGCACAAGAGAAAGACAAAGACAGCTTTGCCTTACCCAGGATGAGAGATCAAGTCTGTCTAGATGTCTAACACAATACAGCTGGGCAGCTCTGCCTTCTCAGATCATGAATCTGATCCATGTGTCTTTTTGGGCCCTGTGTATCTTGTGGGGGAGGATATACCCAGCAAGAGCCAAAAAAACTGGTCTTGGAAAAAGGTTCAACAGAAAGTGAAGGAGAACCCAGTGGCACCATGGTAGCACTCTGCTCTCTGGAAGAGGCAGTGGTCCAGCGTTGCAGCAAGAACTGCATTGAGATCCTGCAGTATGAAATAGCCCTGTGCTGGCACATGGTGGACAACAGCAGAGAAAAATTGGAAGCCAGTGTCTGCAATGCCCCAGGCTCAGACAGACAAGGTCTTCTCTAGGGTTCTTCCTGCCCCAGAGGAGATCCTGACAGCAGCTGTCCAGCAAGAGGGCTGTCAGGATGCAGTCGGGAGAAACGTCCCAGTGTCCAGATGGGGAAGACGTTGCAGTAGGCAGTGTAGCTGATGGCACACGACTTGTTGAACACTCCAGCAATGTTCTCCTGAGAGAGAGAAACAGCAAGGTGGTGTGGGTGGCAGGCTCCCACTGCATCCTCCTTATCCATGCTCCTCAGGATAGCATCGCCCACTCTGGAAGCATTTCCCTCTATCCCCACATGGGCCTTGAGCTGCTGTCTCATTACCACAAGCAACCACAGTTGTGTCCAGGACATATGGGTAAGCTCAACTGCTCCCTGGGGCTTTCCAGAAAAACCCACAAGCATCTCCTCTTGCAGGAAAGAGGAAATACACTACTGCAATGAGGCACAATGCCCACAGGAACCCCTTGGAGAGACAAGAACGGATCTACAAACCTGAGGCCAGTCCCCGTTAGGTAACTGTTTATCAATCAATGCTTTGATACCCCTTTCCAACACACTAATATCAGGATACCTGCAGAGCACAGAGAAGACACACACTCACAAATCTGGACTGTCCATGTAACCCTATACATGCACTTAGGGAACACTGCTACCTTCAGGCTACCTGTGTTTGTCCTTGGCATGCCGAGTGTTTTGGGAAGATTCCTTGTGACCCTCGCACACCAGACATTATGAACATGGCAAAACTGTCCCAGGCCAGAGGCTTGCAGTTATGACAGACTCCTGCTTTGCACTAGCTCCCCTTCCCCCAGGCATCAGGAGCCTCTCCAGTCCGTGGAACACAGCTCCAACCAGTCCCCCCACTGCAGCAGGCTTGTGACAGACAGTATCTTTTAGCAAGCATCACACATCTTAGGCCAGGGCCCATGCTATCTCTTCCCTATAACTTGGCTAGTATTTCCTATCCCTTCCAGCACTTGGGGCCAGGCAGTGTCTCAAGGCAAGGACTGCTCCTACCTGACAGCCATGAGTCCCAACAGGGCCCAGCACGTATTGTGGATCTGTGACGTGGCGCTCTGCATGTACACGCGCTGCTCGCACGACTCAAAGTCTTCTCCCCAGCCACCATCTGCCATCTGCTTAGAAAGCAGAAACTGGCACGCCTGGGACACCTCTCTGCACACATCCCTGCAAAGACAGGGCAGAGGATCAGATGAGTTGCAGGGGAGAGGTAGATTTTCACCTATGTGCCCCATCACAAATAGGAACGATGCTCTACCATGCCCACAGTGGGGGTTTCAAGCTTGGGCAGCAAGTGCCTAACTGTTGAATCACAGGCACAGGATTTGGGAAGAGGAGGCCTGGGCCAATCAGGGCATCACCTCAGTCCCACCACATGGCCCTGCCCAAAAGAGAGTGGCAGGGAAAGCAGATTGCTCCTCACTCACCCATCGCTGTATGTGTGCTGCATGCTGGCAAACGCCTCCAGGCCAAACCAGGTGCCGTAGGTGAAACAAACCCCCCAGCTCCTAGGAGGGAGGGATGAGCAGTAGCGTCAGGCCCGACAACCCAGGTTTGATGCAGGCAAGGTCCTAGGAACATGACTTACCCTTCCCATGACCCGTCAGCTCGCTGCGTCCTCCGACAGAAGTCCAGACCCTTTTGCAGAGTCTCTCTGCTCAGGAGAAAGATGTCTGCTTCAAAAGCAGCCCACACTCGGTGGCTGCATTTGCAAAGGCCAGTCTCTGAGAATTTGGTGAACCCTCTCTATAAAATGGCTCAAGAATCAAGAGAGCACAGACCAGCAGTTCCACATGATCTCACAGTCGAATCATGCACCACTTGGATGCTTTCCTGCCATGAGCTGGCACACAACAGGAAACCCAGCTGGCAACCATTTGCAAGACCAAAGCAACAGACAAACAGCCTGCACCCTGCTCCTTGAGTCAAGCTAGACCCCAGCCTCTTATAAGGAACTCTCGTTTGAAGATATCATCAGCACCCCAGTCCTGGGTGCACCAAGGGTGCACCCCTGACAAAGCTTAACAGGGGCTGCACCAACTAGGGCCATGTCAGGCAGCATGGGTGACTGCAGACTGTTTTCTCCCCTGCCCCACTCTCCTCTCAGTGTATCACCTGATCTCTGGGGCTCTGTGCTCAGGGAAAACCTCATGGAAGTGTCTCAGCGCCTGCATGACAGCCGATGTGCACTCCACGTAGGTGTAGTCAATCATGATGTCACCTGCCAATGGAAAAAGAACAGCAGTGCAACAGCCCCTCTGCTGGGTAGCTCTCCCAGCAGGGCACTGTAAAGCCTTTCCCTTGCCCCGTTCACACGCATCCCACAGAGGGACCAGTGGCAAAGCCTGGCACTCACCAGGCACAGCAGTGCCAGAGCCCTTTGCAGTGGGCAACTTCGTATGTGGCAAAGCCTCCATCAGAGTTCCTCATGCTCAGCAACTGTCCAGGCAAGCATAGAATGGGGACTGGACTGGCCCACGGGCAATGGCACCCCAAACCATCCCCAAGCCAGGTGTGAGGACAGAGCTAAGCCCACAGGGATGGCACATAACACACATGTCAACTCACAGGCACACCTAGTCTGAACCATCACTGCAGAGACTTCTATCACACTAATGCAGTGTCACTATTGCTTTTAGCAGGCCACGGGCCTTGTAGGGGCTTACCCAACACCAGACCCACCAACTCACCAGGACTTCTGCCTTCTCCTGTTCTAGCTCAGCTTAGCTGGCTGCATTTCCCACAGCCAGCCAGCCCGTTTCTGCAGCACTTACCACGTTCACGGCATCAAAGAGGCGCTCAGAGGGGACACGCTCGGTTATGAAGGGGCACTTCTCCTGCAGGAGCATCACTGACTTCAGCCCCTCTGCTGTGCAGTCAGCTACAATCCAGCCACAGTCCCGAGTGCTGAAGGGGAAGCCACCCTGGAGAAGGGTCAGGAGAGCTCAGTATCTTCCCCCAGACCTGCTCTGCCCGTGCACAGAGGAAGCTGATCCCCCTCAATCCTTTTCCCCAAACTGCTGCCCCAGCCATCTCAGGCAGCACTGGCTGTTGTACCTTGTTCATATGGCGATAATATTTCTGGTAGTCAGGTGGGTTCTCTGGGATCTGCACAGGAGAAGAGTAACAGTGAGGGCAGGCCAGAGATGTGTGGAACCATGACTAGAGCAGAGCTCTATGGACCTGGGTACCATCCACCCTTTGCCGAGGAAGGCAGCCAAAGCCAGAGGCTGGCTCTGGAGCAGCGAGAAATCACTTTTTGGCCTGATTTTTCCAGATGTTGCTGAATCCTGTCTTCTCATCATTCTTTCCCAACAGAAAGCCATTCACTGTCAATGCTTTCTTTGCCAGCACCATAAGCAAGACCTACAGCTACATCTGCACCCAGCCACCAGTGACCCCATCAGTCTGGCCAGCAGGAGTTAAGTCCATACTGTCACTAGCCAAGGAAGCCAGATTTCCCAGCAGGATAACTCAGGTATGTGGTCAGTGAGTAGGATGAGGGGAAAAGAACTTCAAACTCTCTGTTCCCTAACTTTTCTTAGCCAAGGAAGCTAACTTAAATGCCCTAGAGCCAGCCATGGTCATCTCTAAGTTGTAGACATCCTTTCCTTGCTGTTCCCCAGCAAAAAGAATGCAGGAAACAAAAGATTGCCCCCAGTGCTATACTAGTGCAGCCCTGCAACAGAGCCCTTCAGGGCAAAACAGAGGTATTAAACAGACCCATAAGACAAGAGTTTGCACAGCCAGCACAACAGAAACACCATCAACCAGGTCTGCTCACCTGGCTGAACTTGAGGAACTCATGGGCGTTTTGGAGGCAGGACCTGAATTCAGGGATCTTCTGGGCTTCTGCCTGGAAACAGAGGTGCACAGTCAGCAAGGAGCTGTGGCTATCACATGTCCCTTGGATAGAAGGGGATATGCTGGGATCTCACTAACCTGCTGGTCTAAATGTAATTAACTCCTGCCCCTCATATAGCCTTTCCCACAGGCTTGCATTCAGACTTTGTTTGTATCTGTCTGACTGTTTCCACTAACAGCTCCTACAGTTGGAGCTGAACCAGCAGTGGTCACTGGTACTGAAGAGAAGCACTTGCCTGTCCAGGGTAGGGGCTTATCTGGTCAAGCATATCACCCTCCCCAAAACATGCCCACTATAGCTAGCACTTCAGTGCTGCAAACCAGGGATCCTGCATGCTCTCCCTGCCAGATGGGCCAAGCAGAGCACAGAGGAAAAGCCAGGTTGCAGAGACGGGGAAACCTAACCTGACCCATTCGGCAAGATCAAGGCCTCCTGCTTTGAAAGCTGCTGGCAATGCTAGGGTGCACCAGCTGCACTGGGCACCTTCTGTGCCACTAGGGCCTGGATGGTGGGATCAACAGCTCTGAGAAGGAGCTCTGGTGTACAGTGTGGTGCCAGGATCTGCACAGTGGAGCTCTGAAGGGGTGTGCAACAAGGAGCCACTAGTATTTGGGGACTGGAGAGGCCACTTTCCTGAAGCCACATATAGCTCTGAAGGGAGTGTTACCTCCAGAAAGGCTTGGACAGCAAAGGCAGTATCCCAGAGCTGGGATCCATTTGTCCCCTGGAAGAGAGAAGGAGAGTAGGCAGTGAGAGGCAGCTGACTGGGGCGGGAAGGAGTTTGTCCCAGGCATGGAGTCTCTGTGGCAGCACTTCCCTCCTGCATTACCACCGTGAGCCCCCTCCACCTTGTGTCTCAGTTTCAGGTTGTGCAGCACCATGGCTGATTTGCAGGCAGACACAGCAGCACGGGCATGAGAAAGGGACAGCAAATGAGACAGCTGGCACGGCTTGTGCCAAGGCACAACCAGAACACGAGGGGCAGCCAGGGATGAGGAGCACAGGGAGGCAACAGCCAGGAGAGAAGCACAGCTGTGTTCACATACAGCATCTGAGCACAGGGACAGGGGCCTCTGTCACCATGTCTTCTTCCTCCTCCCCTCTCACCATCTGTGGGATTGAAGGGGGTAGAGGCCTTGAGCTGCTCCCTCAGCTGACAGCCAAAGAGAGACAGACTAGTACTGCTAGTCTGCTGCTGCTGGCACTGCTGGAGAAGTGGCAGTGACACAGGCAAGACAAGCTGCTGGGAGCCCAGTCCCAGTGTGAACAAGCTGTCCCATCCCACAGGTTGCCACAACATGCATGGGTCCCTGTCAGTCACAGCCAAAATCCCACAGCACGTCACCTGCATCTTCATGCCGTCGAGGCCCAGCCTGTGGGAGAAGAGAGCACAGTGCTGCAGCACAGACACAGCAAGAGCACTGGGAAGGGGGCTGAAAACCACAGCATGCTCACACAGACAGATCAGAGCCCTGCTGTGGCAGGCAGGTCATGCTCAGCCCTTACCAGAGATAGTCTGGAATCCTGGAGACATGTTCCTGAAAAGCTGGGGAGTTTTCCCCATCCACAAACCAGCGAACCAGCATATTGATGGTCTTGGAAATCTGCCAAGAGAACAGTATCAGAGCATGGAGACAGCACGCTCCAAACCCCAGAGATGCACATCACTCCCACCCAGCACATAGCCCTTTGCAAGTCCCAGCCATTGTTCCAATGGCTCAATCTGTTGTGTCACACTAAGGGCCCAGCTCAACCATGAGATTACTCCAGAACTTCCCCCCATATCATTTCCCTGCACACTGGAAAAAGATACCCTTCATCAGAGACCACAGCTGCCCCAGTGCCAGCTCTGTCTCCAGCACCCTGTTAGCATTAGGAGCTGCAGCAGTTGTGCCTGGGTCTGAGCAAGACCCATTGGTTATGGTTACAGGTCACACTTGTAAAGGACTGGGAACCCCAGCCTAGTCCCTCAAGGGCACACAAAGAAATAAAGCCAAGGGCAGGACTTTTAAAAAGTCATTAGCAAGTAGCCTACCGGGCCAATGCTGATGCACTTGGTGAATCTGTCATCGGCTTTGATGTGGTCATACAGCTCTGCCACGGCTTGCTGCCGCAGGGAGGTGCTGTGGACAGCTTCATACATGTTCATGATGGCTGCAGGATTAAAAAGGGACATACACTGAAAAAGCTGACTTATGCAGAAAGAGTTGGCTGTACCACTGCTCACCACTAGCTAAGGGAAGCATAGGGATTAGTCTGCCCCAAAGAGCTGAGAGCATCAGGACACAAGGCCCCACAGCCCTCATGGAGACAAGAAAAGACTGTGGATCACATGATCATAGTTTCCATTCCAGATCCATGCACCTCTGGCCAGCAGTAGACCACAGAGAGCTCCCATGGTGCCAGGCAGACAGAGCTCCATCACCAACTTGCGCAAGGGCAGCAGCACGGCAAGAGTCCTCCCGTCCCAGCCAGCACCGCACTCACCATAGGCCGCCCCCAGCAGCCAGCTGTGCGGGGTATACACGTCACAGGCAGCCACGTTGTTCCTCTGCGCCGGCCAGTCTATGCTGGCATAGTCCTGCACGTACAGCTCCTGGCACGGGAGAACACAGGGCATCAGCCTGGCAGGCTGACAGCAAACACCCTGAGCTGGCTTATTGTGGACAGTTGGCTTTGCTACGTGGACAGAGACCATTTCCCCTGTGCAGGCAAGGGCTGTCACTTGCTGACCCAGAGGTTTGCCCCAAGGACACAGCTGTCACAGCAACAGGTGAGGGAGCCACATATCCTTGTTAGGAAGCTCCATCAGGGTCACCTGCTTACCTGCCGCAAGCTCTGTACTAGCTCATCTTCTTCTGCTGACAGACGCTTGGCGTAACAGTAGCTCATGGGCAGGTAAACCTGGCGGCAGTGACACCACAGCCGGGACGGATGGGCTGGGAACCATGTAGGGAGCAGCCTGTTCACAACAGAGAAGGTCTTACCATGAGTGACAGGGAGGGCCAAGGCAGATGTGGAGATACTTTGTGGAAAATGCCTGAAGCAGGGGGAGCCTTCCTCTGTTCCCTGCACAGGGCCCTTTGCTGCCCATACAGCTGCAAAGGACAGAAGGGGATGTCCATGCAGCCTGGCCCCACACAGACCCTCCCCAATAAGGCTGCTCCCTCTCCACCAGGGCCAGCAGCGACCTTTCCTGGGCAAATTCAGACAGGGCAGGGAGGACCCTGAGCTCAGAGAGGGGGCAGAGAAGTCCAGTCAGGGACACCTCTCCTCTTAGTGCAGTCATGAAGGGAGAGGCCCAAACTGCAAATTAAGCTGAGAACAAAGCTCAAACAGTCCCTGGTACTGTGTGACACCTAGAGCTGGCAGCCTTACAACAATAAGCTCTGTCCTGCTACGGCCCAGGGCTGGCTGGCCACAAGAGCAGAAGATACTGGTAGCAGAGAGCTGATGGACACATCAAGGTGATGATGCTAACAGGGCTGAGCTCCGGCACTTCAGCACAGCGTTCAGTCCTACCCTCCAGCAGCAAGACCAGCCAACAGGTCTCCCAGCTCACAAGCGGCTGGGGCAGCCTCTTGGCTGCTTGGAGCAGCTGCAGGTGAGGGTGATCCCCATAAACACCAAAGCTTGGGAGAGCATGGGGGCCAAGGGCTACAGCAAGACTGACAACACTCCCCACTTCCACACTGGGACAACACATACCACATCTCTGGGAGAAGTGTGTTCATCCCATCCCAGCTATAAACATTCAGGACAGCCAGCCAAAACTTCCCCCACGAAGGGATGCCCACAGCACCTCCTGCAGAGAGGGATGTTAGTTTTCAGAGTTAATGCAAACAAGCCAGTTCACAATCCTACACATTGCAGGATCATCCTCTCCTCTCATTTAAGTGTGCACTGTTGGGATTGGGACAGATGTCAAAAAACAGCAAGCAAATCACAGCCCAGAAACAAAACACCCTTTCTCAGGTATAATCTGAGACACAAAGGCAAGCAAGGACATCAGCTTCTCCACTGCCTGGCAGCCCCCCATGCTCCACTCAGCACTCAGGGTCAGCCAAACCGCCCCAGTCACTGTCCTAGCCCCACAGCTGCTGTACCAGGCAGCAGAGCTGACCTTTGCTATGCAGGTTGACACGGGCCCGCACGACATCTGGGTCATCTGGCCCGACCCCCAGGATCCTCAGGGCTGTGTAGTTCAGTGCTGTGCCAAACACTGTCGATTTGTCTTCCACATGCCTGTTGTGAGCACACACACACACACACACACACAAGACAGACATTAGACACAACCCACTGCACAGGGCTTTCTTGGCCAGAGCAAAATGGGATGTTAAGGATGACTGTGGAGAATGGAGACCCAACCTGGATAGAAACATTTTTGTTCTGCACTGCCCAAAACATGCAACGCTTTGGGACAGTGTCAAGGAGGAGATGCAGATGGGTTCTGTGGCAGGGATGCATCCCCTAGAGTCTTACACAAGCAGTTGGACAGCAACCCAGAGGTATCACAGCCACCACCTCCCACTCCCAAACCTTGTTAGACTCTGCAGCAGCTCCAAGTGCCGAATCTTGGAGGCACCACCACCAAGTGACACCCCTCTGCTACTCACAAGCCCCAGCCGCCGTCTGGGAGCTGCACGGAGCGCAGGTAGCGCACCATCTCTTTCCGAAACTCTTCTGGCAACTGGATCTTTGCAGTGTGGCAAGTGATGAGGAGACCTGGAAGATCAAGCAGAGGAACTCTCTTACCATGTCCAATGCAGTGTATTTATCTGGCTGAGAAGAGCAGGCCCTCTCCAGCCAGCACAGCCCAGGGCCTTGGGGCACTGCACCAAGGCACGACATTGAGCCACCCTCGCACTCACTATTGATACTTCTGCTGACAAGGCAGAGATGTGCCAAGATGAAGCAACACAGTAAACATGCCCAGTGATGGCTATTTCACCCATTTCCACCCCAGTAGAGGGAAGAGCCTCCTGACAGGGCACCAAGCAGGCCAGGAGCATCTGGGAGCTCTTCCTTGCCATGAGGAGTCACCCCAGCACGCCATGGCAGTACCAAGGACCCTATCACAACTGACCTGGGAGCAGGAAGAGGGCCCCACCATAATCGCCAGCCCAATGCCCGTCCTCAGCCTGAAGGCCGGCATAAAACCGCATGCCATTGCAGGCTGCCTCCCGCGCCGTGTGAGCTGCTGGCAAGGGCCGCAGCACTTCATCCTGCAGCGAGACAACATCTCGGTCTGGGTCCCTGGGAGGCATCTCAGGCACAGTGACACCCCTCTCCTCAGTCTAGGCCACGGAACCCCCCCTCTGCATGAGCCCTGGGGATACCTCAGCTCCAGGGATCCCGATCTGCCCGCCCCCTGCCTCCAACCCCAGGACTGTTCCTTCCACCAGGGCGCCTGGGGAACCTCAGGACTCAGGCCCTGGGAGACATCCCTGCCCCAGAGAACCCCCCCAGTTGGGGCCCAGACCGAGGGACCCTCCCTCAACTGAGGGCTAGGGGGGCACCTCAGTCCCAGGGACCCCCCAAACCTCAGGGGCCTCTCCCACCTAGAGACTGGGGATCTCTCAGCCCCAGAAACCACCCTCAAGCCCAACCCCAAGCCTTGGGGGAAGCGCCTCAGCCCCAGGAAGGGATTGGAGTACACCTCATCCCCAGGACCCCCTTAGCCCCAGGGACTCCCCCATTTGGGAACAGGAGAGGGACCTCATCCTCAGGAACCTCTCCTCAAACCCGGAGTCTGCACCTCAACTCCAGAGCTCCTCCCCCGCAAATGAGAGTCAGGGAGCACCTCAGTCCTTGCGACCTCTCCCCATTTATGGACAGGGACCGACCACCAGCCCTGGGCGCCCCCCTCCTCGTTGGGACCGGGGACCTCACCGTGCTCAGCCCGAGGCAATGCGCCTCCAGCGCCGTCTGCGCCCGCCCCGCCGCCTCGCCGGCCGCGGGGGGCAGGTAGCCCCAGCGCTGCCGCCCGCCCTCGCAGCTCAGCCGCCAGCTGCGCAGCTCCGTGGC